TGGCCTTATATTAGCATGATGTGGACAGCACTTTCCTGATGGAATTGAAAACATGCCATTGCTTACATGTCTATAGCCTTCATAGCTCACTGCAAGGCCTAGATATATTTTTTAGGCATTTAAGTGGCTAAAGTATATTGTGGAGGACAGGGAAAGAGAAAGCACTTATCTAGCTCATCAGAACTGATGAGATTTGGCTATTGATATTAACTTAGTACCCCATTCATCAAGGTACTTAAGCATGTGCTTAACTTTTAATATATAAGTAGTCCCTTTGAAGTCAAAGTTGATTTAGGCGTGTCCCTTAATTTGATTTTGAATTAACTGTAAAAGAAAAACTTGAAATCTAATCAGTTTCAAAAAGTGAATGAGAAGTAGTTTCAGGTACCCATGCTGATTTCTGTAATTCTACAATCACATTTTCCTATTTTTAGAAAGATATTTCTCACACATTTGTGTGGATCTTTCATGCTGAAACAGGAAAAGCTGACCAATGTATTCTGTTAATACCTCCTTTAGAAAGCAATATCAGTCAAACTCTTTGAACAATGAATAGTTAGCTCAATCCACAAGAAGTTAACACTTGACCTCATCCTGTCTCCAAAATCCCATTCTTGGGCAAAATAATTGAGAAAGTAGTAACCATCAAGCTCCTACATAAAAGTGACAGCCAGAATCCTGGATTCAAACTAGGGCATAGGAACAATCCTAGTGGCCCTAAAAGATGGGCATAGTATGTACACAAGCACATTGCCCGTGTTCATATTGCTGGGGTTTTCTGCTAAACAGCAGACCACAAGGTAGTGCTAACCTGCCTACCTGACATAACAGGAGTAGATGGTACAGCACTAGTCACTCCAATCATTCCTCTCCAACAGACCTCAGAATAGTGATGTGTAATTACTCCTTCTTTCCATAGGCCCTCACCTGCTGAATCCCACAGAGATTCAGATCACCCCATCTGCTTTTCAATACATACGAAATTACTGGGAGAAACAGTGACATACTATGGGTTCAGCTGCCAATAATATGCTGATGACTACCAAATTAATGGCTGTGAAAAATTCCTCATGAACCATGAATTTGATTTTCTCTAGGAAGTCTGGTGCCCAGTCGGGGGCTCCTACCCTGTGCAGGGTTCCCGCTAGTAGTCCCAGCTGGGGATGAGGAGAGACAAGACTTTCTCTTCCCCTGGAGGGGCTGCTCCCAGGGCGGGTCAGACCCACTACCGGGAACCTCCCCTGGCGGCAGGAATCTCCGCATCTCCAGCTGTCATCTCTCCCCTTCTTCCCCCCACGGGGAGGCTGTGTCTCCAGCTGTCACCCCACAAGACACACTGGGATGGGAGACTGCCGGGAAAACCGGACATATGGTAACCCACCCTCCTACCCTCTGACCCACACTTCTGCACTGCTGCTGCTGGCGGCACTGGCTTTAGAGTTGGATGCCCAGCCAGCAGCCTTCCTCTCTGGCTGCCCAGCTCTGAAGGCAGAAAGGCAGAAGTAAGGTTGGCAATCCATTACCCCCCTACAATAATCTTGTGATTCCCCCCCAACTGGCCTCTTGGGTTTGGACTCCCATGGTTACAACACTGTGAAATTTCAAATGTAAACAGAAAATGACTAATTTTAAAATCCCCGGCCATGAAATTGACCAAAATGGACTGTGAATTTGGTAGGGCCCTACTGATGACACTCTACAAGATTTTTCACCACTGATAATGCAACCATCCTCACTAAAATATCAGAAAGCCTACAGAACATCAGCTCTTGGACAAAGTGTAGTTGACTCAAAGTGATGCCAAGCAAGACTGAAAATGATGAAACTTTTTGAAGAACTAGCTGAGGTACAGTTGCCACCATCCATTGAAGGCATACAACCCCTATTCATTGAATCAGTGCAAAGTCTCCCTCTAAAATTTGACTTCTCACAAAGCTTAGATGATCAGGTATCATCAGTGAATAAAAATGCCTTCTTTCACCTCTTTCAGCACTCTAGGCATTCTAGGAAACTTCCACCCCTCCTTTCCAACAAGGACCTGGCCACATTGATCCATTCATTTTTCATCTCTAGGCTGGATTACTGCCATTCACTGAAACGGAATGCAGTGATGCTAGAATAATTTTTATAGTGTGGATACTGAAGACTGAAACCTTCTATTTCAGTTATTACTACTTCAAGACAGGAGGTACAGCAGCACCCCTAGCACTCTTAGTTTCAGCATTCAGAGTAACAGCCGTGTTAGTCTGTATTCGCAAAAAGAAAAGGAGTACTTGTGGCACCTTAGAGACTAACCAATTTATTTAAGCATAAGCTTTCGTGAGCTACAGCTCATGATGCAGCTGATGAAGTGAGCTGTAGCTCACGAAAGCTTATGCTCAGATAAATTGGTTAGTCTCTAAGGTGCCACAAGTACTCCTTTTCTTTTTAGTTTCAGCACTTATGGCTGAATGTGAAGACAATGGATTGGCTTCAAATAATACAAAAAATGGCTGCCCGCTTTGTCCAGGTTCTGGATCACCATGAGCCCGTAAGGCCTGCATTCAAATCCCCAAACTCGTGCCTACTCAGTTTCAGGTGCCACTTTAAGGCTCTGATGCTAACCTTCAAAGCAATTAATGCATCATTCCCAGCTACGTTAACTGAATTTCTATGAACCACTGTGAAAGCAGTGCAAGGACAGGCAGATCACAAAACCCAGGATGAAGTACATGAGAGGTGGGAAAAAAGGGAGGGGAACCGTCTATGGCATAGACTCTATGAAATGAACTTCTAAAGGGGATTAGGTGAATCCTGAGTCTGACCCTTTTTACCATAGAAAGAAAAACATATCTCCTCTCTAAAAAAAATAAAATACAATAGAATAGAATAAAATAAATGAAACAACCAACACAAGCACAACACACAATACCCCAAGTGGAGTTTGATCTCCTCTCCAAAAAGAGAAAAAGAACCAGAGACTCCCAAGTCCACGAGGAGTTTTACTATTGATGTTCACTTCACATGGAAGGCACTCAGCTACTACAATGATGGATGGCAGTGTTGTAAAACCATAAGATAGACTACAAAGAAAACAGTGAAAGGAAAAGGAGTACTTGTGGCACCATATTAAAAGTTAATGTCTCTTAGAGACTAACAAATTTATTTGAGCATAAGCTTTCGTGAGCTACAGCTCACTTCATCAGATGCATTCAGTGAATTGGTTAGTCTCTAAGGTGCCACAAGTACTCCTTTTCTTTTTGCAAATACAGACTAACACGGCTGCTACTCTGAAACCTGTCATTAAAAAAACAGTGAAACCAACTATACATGAAGTGCTGTCAAAAGCACACAAAATGAATCTACTGAAGAAATGAAGAGAGTAGAGGAGGGAAAAAAGCTCTAAAGTTATAGAAATCTTAACTTGTAACAACGGTGAATGAAAAATTCATACAGAAGTGATTTTTAAAAAACTGATAGTGTCCCTTCATAGTAGAAAAATTCTTTGCACTACAACAACACAAATAATGACATAAGCAAAACATAACACAAGGCAGATTTTAAATGCTGAAAGTTTCCCCATTGCACTAGAAGCATGTTTACTTTCAGTAATGCCAACTGTGGCCAATGTTTTAAGAACTGATCCGTGGAGTTGCCTCAATTTTATTTGTCACCGTTCCATAAACTGATCACCAGAACAAACATAAACAGACACCAGATAAAGGTACAAAATCTTTTCACTAGATCATGATATTACCTAAAATTCAGCAGGCATTTTACCTACACAATTTACTCAGTGCCTCATTGGCTCTCCCACCAGTTATACTGTCTGATGAGAATAAAATTTCCTAAGTGTAACTCTCACAGCCTAGAAAATAATTTAAATTGAGAAGTAATAGAACTAAATCAGATGAGAATTTTACAGATAATGCCTTTTTATGGTATGCAAATAAAATAATCCTGGGCCCTGTCTGTACTAGGGAATAGGAAGGGGGGGAACTCCTATGTACACAGGCACAATGCTGTTGAAACAAGCTTTTTCCCCCTAGAATCCAAAGCCAGAAGGGACCATTGTGATCATCTAGTCTGATCTAACAGAGGCCCTAGAACTTCCCCTAAACAATTTCTACAGCAGATCTATTAGACAAACACCCAATCTTGATTTAAAAATTTTCAGTGATGGGAAATCCACCATGACGTTTCATAAACTGGTCCAATGGTTAATAACGCTCACTGTTACAAAGAAATTACCCCTTAATTCTAATCTAACTTTGTTTTGCTTCAGCTTCCTGCTGTTGGATCGTGTTACTTTGTGCTAGACTGAACGGCCTATCTTTAAATATTTGCAGATACTCACAGACCATAATCAAGTCAAGTCACCCCTTTTAAGGGCCAGGTCAGCACTGAGGTCTCAACCAACATGGCGCTTAAAATCTGGGCGGTAGCAGCCTTCTAGGGCAGGGCTCCCGATCTGGCTCCCACCGGTGGCGCTGTCGTGTGTTAGCAGTGGTGCGATAACTGTCCGTGGCGGTGGCACAGAAGAACACGTGCTCGAGTGACGGTCACTAACCCATTTACCCTCTCAGGTGTCGTTTCCTTCCCACCCCCTGGCGCCGGCGTTGCCCCGCCACGCACACGCGTGATTTCCTGCAGTGCCCAGTGCCGGGCACCGGGAACCAGACAGGCTCCTTCCTCGCCAGCAGGCTGCAGAAGCCTTTCCCCCCCGGAATTTATCCCTAACGGCTGAGGCGCGCCTGACCTCGGGCGGCGAGTCCCACTCGGGGCCCCTTTCCCCGCGGGTAACGGGGGGGGGGGCAGCGCTCCGGCCGCGGGACAAAGCGGCGGAGCACGGAAGGGCCGGACTGAGGCGAGAGGGGCGCAGCGCGGGCCCCTCACGCGCAGCTCTCCGCCCCCGTCACGCAGAGACGCGGGTGGGGGCGCGGAGGGGTAACCGCCATCCTAGTGGCGGGGCGGGAAGGGGAAGGAGCGCGACAGCCGCAGGCTCCCTGCCCCACACTCACCAGCCCCCTGTCCGTGTCGGGCTCACCCTGCCTGCCGCCGCCAGGGACCCTCGCGTACTCTACGTAGCGCAGGGTCTCCGAGCGGGCCCCGGCACCTTCCATGACAGGCCGAAAGAGTTGAGGGCGCCGTACGGGGCCGCGCTAGGGACAAGCGAGCGCCGAGGGCGGAGACAACTAAACAAGCGCGATCCGCGCCGTGCCAGCCCCTCCCCCCACTCGCCCTTCCTGTGAGGGGAGGGGCCAAGTGCGGGCGTCCGCCGCCTGTGCCAGCAGCTCCCCGCCGGGGTCCGAGGGGTGGAGCGTCGTGTGCGCGTGAGCCAGCCAGGCGGGGGTGTCATAGGCACGCAACACTGCCGTGCCCGAAAGCGTTAAGCGTAGCCCACTCCCCTTCCGCCTCGCAAGCTAGTAGCGCTGGCAGCTTCTCAGCGCTGGCTCCCCTTCCCACACACCACAACGTGCTGGGGGAGGAGGGCACCCGAAGGGGGCATTCATAGGACACACGCTGACCCCACCAGTGGTGGATGGGGTGGAGACAGAGAAAGGCTGATAGTGTAGACAGGGCCTGTGAACACAGACCCTTGGGGGATTTAGTTCCTTCCAGAGTCAGATATTGCCCCCTCCCAAGCTGGTTGGCCCTACAGAATCTCCCTGTCCCCCAATCTTTCACATTATTATGTTTAAAAAATTGTAAAATAGTACACATGGCTCATCATGAAGTGCTGTCACCACTAAAACTCCCATGCCCACATGATAAAACACATCACCTTACCACCTGTCCACCCCTCAACCCCCAAAAGAAGGCCTCTCGTTGCACCCTGAAGGTCAACGGGTTCAGGATATGTCACACAAGAGCAGAAAGCAAATTCCTGAGCCAAAGGCCCCCCACTGAATACACCTTGTTCCCATGTGCACAAATCTAGGAACTGTCTTCCCTTTACCAGACCCTTATCTAACTCCCCACTAATTTGTGGGGGATGCGGACAGGAAGACTCGCTCAGTGGATTTTAAGGGTTTGGTGTAATTCCCTCCTGAGGCCAGGGAGGATTTTGCAGTTTGTGTCCTGGATGGCAATTTGTAAAAGTTATTCACTTGTTCCCATAATATAAGAACTAGGGGCCACCACGTTAAATTAATGGGTAGCAGGTTTAAAAAAAATAAAAGGAAGTTATTCTTCACTCAGCGTACAGTCAACCTGTGGAACTCCTTGCCTGAGGAGGTTGTGAGGGCTAGGACTATAACAGGGTTTAAAAGAGAACTGGATAAATTCATGGAGGTTAAGTCCATTAATGGCTATTAGCCAGGATGGGCAAGGAATGGTGTCCCTAGCCTCTGTTTGTCAGAGGGTGGACATGGATGGCAGGAGAGAGATCACTAGATCATTACCTGTTAGGTTCACTCCCTCTGGGACACCTGGCATTGGCCTCTGGAGGTAGACAGGATACTGGGCTGGATGGACTTTTGGTCTGACCCAGTATGGCCATTCTTGTGTTCTTATGCTATTTAACCTGTATTTGGAAGATGACATTCAAATTTCCTTAATTCACTCACACAACATCACCTGCTCACTTTCCCAAATCCCAAGACAATTGAGGGGAAGGAGCGATCAAGAGGAAGAAATGAAGGGATGAGAGATAATAGTAGGTAGAAACTGGAACAGAGAGGGAAAAAGAGGAGAGAGAACACTGAAAGTAAAGAGATATGGAGAGAAAGGCCAAACAGGGAAAAAAAAAAATCTTGGCCTAAATAGAAGATTTCAGAGGAAGAAAAAGAGAAAACTTTTATAAATATGAAAAATTCAAGAAAAACTGGTCTGGGGGAAAACATAGACAATGAAAGAGACTAAAAATGCATAACTGTTTCTTTCAAGTTAGTCAAATATGATGTATTTTAGCACACTTTTATACTTAAGTTTCACAAGTCTCCTGTAAATCTAGACCAGGGTTAGTTAATTATTTTTTGTCAAGGTCCAAATTTCTTGGCCAAGATATAGTCAAGGTCCAGACTTCAGAGAAACATTTTTCACACCTCAAGTGCCCCTGTTCAATGAACACCTACAATGCTGTGAAATATACTCAGGGCCTATTGCTTATGATTTTATTGCATTAAATGAAAAATAAAATCAAACCATTGTATAACCTGAAAATAACCCCCAAGAAAGGTGTAATAAATTACATCTCAGACATTTCAGAGTGGCAGCCATGTTAGTCTGTATCCACAAAAAGAAAAGGAGTACTTGTGGCACCTTAGAGACTAACAAATTTATTTGAGCATAAGCTTTCATGAGCTATAGCTCACTTCATCGGATGCATATAGTAGAAAATACAGTGGGGAGATTTTATATACACAGAGAACATGAAACAATGGGTGTTACCATACACACTGTAAGAAGAGTGATCAGGTAAGGTGAGCTATTACCAGCAGGAGAGCGGTGGGCGGCGACACGACCTTTTGTGATAATCAAGGTGGGCCATTTCCAGTGGTGTCTGTAAGACAGCTGGGAGTGCTGGTAGCATAGGGCCTGAGGAGGGAGTCTACATAGCCAGACAATCCTGCTGTCAGGTTGCCAATGCCCGAGATGATGGGGCGTCCAGGATTTCCAGGTTTATGAATCTTGGGTAGCAGATAGAATACTCCTGGTTGGAGTTCTAGGGGTATGTCTGTGCGGATTTGTTCTTGTGCTTTTTCAGGGAGTTTCTTGAGCAGATGGTGTAGTTTCTTTTGGTAACCCTCAGTGGAATCAGAGGGTAATGGCTTGTAGAAAATGGTGATGGAGAGCTGCCTAGCAGCCTCTTGTTCATATTCCGACCTATTCATGATGAGACACCACTGACTTCCTGAGGAAACTACAATCCACCAGTGATCTTCCTGAAAACACCATCCTAGCCATTATGGATGTAGAAGCCCTCTACACCAACATTCCACACAAAGATGGAACAGTCAGGAACAGTATCCCCGATAATGTCATGGCAAACCTGGTGGCTGAACTTTGTGACTTTGTCCTCACCCATAACTATTTCACATTTGGGGACAATGTGTACCTTCAAATCAGCAGCACTGCTATGGGTACCTGCATGGCCCCACAGTATGCCAACATTTTTATGGCTAACTTAGAACAACACTTCCTCAGCTCTCGTCCCCTAATGCCCCGACTCTACTTGCGCTACTGTCATAATTTACTCTCTTTGAACGTATGTGATTAATTTTTAACCTTCAGTGGAACTGCATTTCTTGTAATCATAAAACCTATTTTAAAATCAGTAATAGTGTCCTTACTCTTACTCTAATCCTTTCTCTGTTCATTGATTTAAGTAAAAGTAAGGAAGAATGGCACATTGCTTACCTATTCTTTCAATTAGTAAATACAAGTAAACCTCAAATAAACTAGAAGTACTGGGATCTTTAAAAATGTGTAGAATAACTTAAACCTCTTGCCTTTTCCTACAACTTGTTCAGGAAATTTGAGCATTTATTGAGGCTATTACTGATACACTTTGTGAAAAGGTAAGGGACAGTAGGAGAAGATGGGGTTGTATGTATTTCTTTTTCGAGAAACAACTGAGATTGTGGGGAAGTGAAAAAAAACAAACTAACAAGGTTGGAGGAGTACAAGAAATGACTGAAATCAGTGATGGGAGGAACTATACAGAAGGGGAGGGCTGATTTTTCCAGTTTACGGCCAGATTCTGCAGTCTTTGCTCACTAGAAGTATTTACTCACACAAGTTAGTCCCACTGAGCTGAGTATGACTATTCATATATGTAAGTACTACTCAGCATGAAGATGGGTTATAGAATTGGTCTCTTAATGTTCAAAGATTTTTTTCTCTCTTAAACTTTAAAAAAAAAAAAAGCTAACTTTAAAATTTTGCGGATACTTCTGAACAAAAGCAGCTGGATTCCTTTATAGTATTAGTAAGGCCCAGCAAACAAAAATCAATGCTCTGAGTACATCAATAATAATACATTTTAATAATGCTTTGCACTTCTGCACCACCAAAGATACCAAAGCAATTTATATGGATTCATCCAAGCATTCAGGGATACAAAAGAAGTTTACAAACATTATCTAATTAAGCTATACAATATACTTGTGAAATACATTAGATAAAGGAGCCAAAGCAATCTCTTTGTCCACAATTGAAATGCATTCACCACTGGAACAAAGTATATCAGCTGTTCAGTAATGCTAAATTACAACAATTTAGGACTGGAAATGAAGAAAAATATTTTTCTCCCACTGAAAATGCAGAGAAAGTCCACGTAGACAGAACAAGTACCTAAGCTTGTCCAGGACACTGAAGTTAACACTGTCACTCATACAAAATCTACCAATGTGATATATGCCATCATGTGCCAGCAATGCCCCTCTGCCATGTACATTGGCCAAACTGGACAGTCTCTACGTAAAAGAATAAATGGACACAAATCAGACGTCAAGAATTATAACATTCAAAAACCAGTCGGAGAACACTTCTATCTCTTTGGTCACTCAATTACAGACCTAAAAGTGGCAATTCTTCAACAAAAAAACTTCAGAAACAGACTCCAACCAGAGACTGCTGAATTGGAATTAATTTGCAAACTGGATACAATTAACTTAGGCTTGAATAAAGACTGGGAGTGGATGTGTCATTACACAAAGTAAAACTATTTCCCCTTGTTTATTTCCCCTCTTACTGTTCTTGTAAACTGCTGGAAATGGCCCACCTTGATTATCACTACAAAAGGTTCCCCCCACCCCCTTCCCCCACTGCTCTCCTGCTGGTAATAGCTCACCTTTCCTGATCACTCTTGTTAGTCTGTATGGTAACACACATTGTTTCATGTCCTCTATGTATATAAAATCTCCCCACTATATTTACCACTGTATGCATCCGATGAAGTGAGCTGTAGCTCACGAAAGCTCATGCTCTAATAAATTTGTTAGTCTCTAAGGTGCCATAAATACTCCTTTTCTTCATACAAACAAGAACACGTGGGCGGACGGGAGGAGAGGAAGCAGAAGTACCAAAGAAAAGGCTATTCTCACAGTATTTATGTCCTGAAGGAAACCTTAAAAGATTATAAGTCTTGTGAGAAAGCATGATAGAGTGAGATTTTCCAGTCCAATTTCTAACCCAAGGAGTTTTTTGGGGGTTAACCTTTAAGGTGTGCTTATCACTAATTTATTTATTTCATAGGAGCAAAGTCTTCATTTCTGCCTGTACAGTAGGTATATTTTTCCTCATTAAACTAGATACATTTATGCTAGCTTATGCACAACACACAGGAAAAACATTTATCC